TTAACACGCACTAACTAGGTTCTTTGTCTAAGCCGAGTGGAAAGGGTTGTACGTCGCTTGATTTTGCTCTCAATATTTCGGAAGCCATGAAAAATTATACACTTTGTGTCATGGATATGAAAAGCATTCGAGAACAAGATACAGTTGTATAATTTGAGATGTTGTTTCTGTCTGAAATGCATCAAGAATTGCTTGACGAGCAAGCGCTCATCGGCTCTGTTTCATGAGCATCTCGTGGGCTTCTTACGAGGCTAGGGGAGAGCCATGTCTGTCTGTCTGTCAAAGCAAAGTTTTCTCATCAGACCCTTCAAAGACCTCCCCGGGGTGGTTATTAAGCCAATATGAAATTTTTACATCCCCTCATGAACATTGTTATATCGTGACAAATTTTTCGTGTACCGTTGCCCTATTGGGGTAACCCTCTTAATCATACATCAAGGTAGTCCCCAGGTAAATCCAAGCGTTCTGAATGGTTCGAATTCTTACTTGGTCGATATTTTGCTATACAGATGGTTTCCACGGAACGTTAATAAGCCGTGTCTATATATATGTTTTTTTTGCAAAGACAGCAAAACAAAATAAACAAGTTACCACTAAACTCACTAATAAAACTGCTTAGTGATGAACTAAATTTTAATTCACTCAGTGCTTTCTAACTTTGGTTGCTCGAATTGCACTTGGGAATATTGGGCCAGTTGTTTTCTCTTTTCTTTCTTGTTGTTATTGTATAATCTTTTTTAATATTATTGGCCCTCGCTGCGCGCGAACCCCACTGTCACGACCTCGAATCAATATTCCCTACGCTTGATTACTTAAGTAGGAAGTTAGTAACTCACTCCTAAAGCAACTAATAATTTATTACAGTATTTCATCTTTTAGGTCGTCGTAAAGCAGCAAATAGAATGTTCGTGAGAACGGGTTTTTTTCCTTTGCTCGTGACTGGATTTCTTTCGAGCCTTTTTCTTGCCACATACGTGATTTTTAAGGAGACGAAAATTTCGTCACCTGGGAGACGCATGGTGCAGATACTGGAGACGGTGACGCTCACAGAAAATGGTAAGATAAATCTGAAAAAAATTACCTTAATGTGAAAACTTCTATTAGCCTATTTAACCTCTAAGAGCGACTAGCATCTAATTTCTTATCTTTGAGTCAAACATTAAACTCACGAGAATTAAACAAATGATAATAATAAGAAGCCCCGCAATGTCAAGCAAATTTTCCCTGTCGTTGCCATAGAAAATTTATGGCAAACAATAAGGATAATTTGCATACTGATTTTAGGTTTGAATAGAGGTTTTGCACAGCAGCCATGTTGGATGGCAGGGTCAATAGATTATTTTACCAATGGGAAAAATTTTCCTTTCTTATGCAAAATATTTTCATTGTTCCTGCCATCCAACATGGCTGCTGTCCAAAACCCCTATAGTCCATTTTACAGTTGTGTGCTTGGTTGCCAAGCCTTTGATTTGGAGTGAGGCTGAAGGTGACCTTGTTGGGACAGAGACCTGTATCTAGTTAGCATGATAACANNCAACAACGAAGGTGTGATCATCTCCCCCCCAAAAAAATACCAAGGGTAGTAAAAAATAGTTTCATGACTGCCAATATGGATTTTAAGAGGCAGAAAGTCAAATTGATGAACTCTTCCTCATGGACATATTACACGAATGTGTGTGAAATAATTGTTTCATCAAAACGCCTAAGCGAAATCTAGACCCAGTCCCTTCTTTTTCGTATCACAAGTATGCCTTCATCTCCTCTCCACGCTCAAATGTCGTTAAAAGAGAGGGAGAGAGAAGGAGAGAGAGGGAGAGAAAGTCGATTACTAATGGTACAAGAAAAACTGATTGTTTTTAATCTGATCTCTCTCAGTGGAAACTCCTTCACTTTCCTATGCAGAAAAGCTTTTTAAAGCTTACGATGAAGTGGAGACCTTTGTGATGTTCATTGGGTATCCTCGCAGCAGCCATAGTTTAGTCGGCGCCATATTGGATGCTCACCCAGAAATTATCATTCCGCACGAGTTTAATCTGTTGCAGATGTGGAGTAGATACAATTTGCCAACATTCAGAAGGAAAAACCTGCTAAGATATAAGTTATTTTTTGATCTTCACCGGACTTCTATGGAGCAAGCTATGTTTGGGATACGAGCAAGCCAAAATAGAACAGTTCTTAACGGGGAATTCACATACTTATACAACGTTCCAAAGTTATGGCAAGGAGGATATAAAAACAGAATAAAAGTAAGAACAGAATTCTGCCTGAGGCAATTTTTCTTTTATTATATGAGTTAGCGTATCCCATACCACAGCCAGCCCAAGCTTATCCTAAAGAATAAGGGGGTAAGTTTCTAAAGAAACTGTGGTGCTGCTGTGGATAGGGGCATTACAAGAGAATATGGTTTTACTAACTGAGTTGATTAGTAATGATGTAAATTGGCTACCCTAAAGACTTTTTATAGGTGACGTTTTGATCGCTAGCTTTTCGGAAGAGCGAAGTGATTTCCAAACCGTGCTTATGATTTGTGTCAAAACACCCTCATTTTATTTGAAAACTTTTCTGTATGCTTTATCACGACTATTCTTTTAGGTGATAGGAGACAAAAAAGGGGGCAAAACTTCAGAGCTTTTAAGTCATGACCCAAGCAGAATGAAGCAGTTAGAAGGAATTGCTAAACTGGTGGGGGTGCCTATGAAATTTATACACATTGTCAGAAACCCATTTGATAACATCGCTACCATGGTGCTTCGCAGGCTAGGAGAACGAAATAATGTTAGAGAAGAAGGAGTAAAAGTAAGTTGATTATTAATGTTTTGAGAACTTGTCAAATTACACTTCCATGAAAGAGCTTCAAGAGAGGAGAGGGTACATTCGATGTCTGTCTTTTTATCATTATAATTATCGATGTTTTATTATTATTACTATTATTATTTTATTATTATTATTATCATTATTATTATTATTATTATTATTTTACATTAGAACATAGCTAGCAGAGCCGCGCAATCAAATTTAGTATACGTAAGCGTGCTCAAAATCCCGATAGTGCAAGCTGATATAGTGTGAGCAAGTCGCTTCGCCAGAAATTTTTTTTTTCGAGCGAGCGGCCATTGTTAGCTCGGGGAAGAATAATATATTTCGCGACAATAATGGATACAAACAGAGACTCGGCCTACTAGTGCCGAAACGAAGACAATTTTTCGACTTTTTCCTTTGGGCTAGAGTTCTTAAATGAGGCAGAAAAAGAAAAAAACAACGGAAAAGGAGACTCGGCATCAGCGCTGTCAGCATTCGCTTCAATTGATATTGTTGTCCGTTTTTCGCGTCGGATTTGATGCACAATTCCACCGGCTATGTTTTAAAACAATTGGTTCATGCTTTCAGCTGTACACTATCGAGTTATGGAGCACGTGTGAAGTTTGGAGAGCGCTCAAAAAGCTAGAGTTGTCCTCGGCTATTGCCTCGGGCAACACTTACGCTTCCTTCGTGCTCTCCAAACTTCCCGCGTACTCCATAACTTGATAGTGCACGCTAAAGCGTGAACCAATTGTTAATTAGACTTAGTATGAGAAATTTGATTGGTTGAAAGCATTTAATCAATATTTAATATTGTGTGAAGCTGACATGATAACCCGACATCTGCAGCGGATATTGCAGTAATCATATCGAGTTTCAAGTCTGCCTAGTTTCGAAGCCCCTCGTTCTTGTAATGTTGTCGAATTTTTTGCAAACTCAGAAAGAAATGTCTTCTATAGCAGATTGTTTAAAAAATTTATATGGATATAGTTGTTAAATCGTTTCGGTATGATGTCATGAATTTTAAAACCTCGTGTTTGTGTTATATAACTCAGACCGTCCGGTTTTGACAATTCGTGATATCCTGCTTAACCTCATTTAATAATCGCTCTATATCATGATCCTTTTGTAAAGAATAAGAAAGATGCTTAGTTATGAGCTCGGTAAAGAAATAGATATTCTTTACAAAACATCACGCTATCGACATTGCCGATCCCAGCAGTAGGCAGGACGCATGTCACATATAAACTTTGTACTGGGCCTTGCTCACCATGGGGGCCTTGCTCACCATGGGGTCCCTGTGGCTCAGTGGCAAAGCATTGGAGCGCGGAATCCGAGGACCTGACGTTCGATTCCCCATGGGGACTCAGAATATTTTCTTTGTCCCGCGCTCGTGACTAGACGAAGAAAAATCTTTCAATCATTATCCTTACTGTTAAGATTATAACCATGACTGTCACAGTCGGTATTAGAATCGTTATCATTATTATTATCGCTGCATCATTATTATCATTGCCATTATCAATTTCATAGTCAAAATTAATGTCATCGTCAACTTCATTAGGAGTCTTCAGCGTCGTCAACGTTTTCGTCATCGTTATCACAATCATTATTTTGCAACGTTGTCGTCATCATTTCTACTGTTTGTCACTAACAGGTGAACGGATCACACATTTTGGAGAACTGGATCGGAGCCTATTTCAAGCTTGTCGAGGCTAACCAGCGCGTCAGAGAACGGTTTGGGGATGCAGTTATTGATATTCCAGGACACGAAACAGTACTCAGACCGAAAGAAACACTACAAAAACTATGTGACCATTTAGGTGTGACATGTTCCGTGCACTATGTAGAAAAATGCAGTAGGATCTTGTATGGGACTCCTTCTGTCACGAGAGATAAAATTGTTTGGACTAAAGAACAAAAACAGCGAGTCACCGAGCTGATGAAAAAATATTCGTTTCTGAAAGACTTTTCGTTTGATGATTACCTCACAGCTAGCAGCGGCTAGCTCAATTTTCATTTCAGCGTTTTAAATCAAAATTTATTGGGTTTGCTTTTCGACCCCCTACGATGTTTCTAGAAAAATGTATTACTAATCAGCCAGGTGTAGTCGTTTTACAATCAAGATAACCAATCAGATTTATTTATTTATTTATTCATCGCCCTGCCTAAGGCACTGTAGGCTTTCCCAGTCCTTCCATTCTCTTACATTGCTGCTTGAACCTTAACTGCCAGCTAGTTGCTAAGCATTTTTTGGTCACGTTTTTGGCTGACCTTTAGCTGAGGATGTACGTCTATTTTGTGGTAATTACGCAAAAATTCAACTTGTAGGAGAAACAGTTGGAGATTTATTAAGGTTGCCAATGTACACGTAGTTGAGTTGATACATAAGTGTTATTAAATTTCTCTTGTTTGATTTACTGTTTTAACATGTTGCATCAGTAAACGTTTCAACAATATTTTCAGAACTTTTCAAAGATCGAAGAAATAAACACGCCATATTAACCATGTAAGTGAAAAACTCCAACTAACTTCTACATTCAACACACTACTGCGAAAACTTCAAAACTAGTTTCGTCTACGACCTCGTCAGCTGATCACAAACAAAAATCTAAAAATTTGAAAAATTTGAAAAAACGCATGGTTGGTGTAGTAATAAACGAAAAATAGCCACTCGGAACCAGGTCTCTAGACCTGCTACATTGTCATAACTGCCCTCGGGATGTTGACGTAATTCCATTCGCTTTTGGAATGATTAACTTACCCTCTTCAACGTTATTTATCAGCACAGATTCCGTTATCTGCCTCAACATTGCATCGTCACGAAAAACCCCCGTTACATTCATTACAAAGCCCACTTCATTTCTATTATGCATATCACAACAATGTCTCCACAAAACAGAGCTTCTCGCCGTTCTAAAGCATGGAAGTGTTCTCTACCGCGAGTATACGCACTTCTGGACGTTTCTCCTACATATTTCGATTTACAAGCGTGACAAACCAACTCATATGTAATACCCGTACTTCGGCAGGATCTCTTCCCGTCAGTCCGGCAAAGAGGGCAGTCAGCATTGGTGCATTGCCTCTGTTTGAAGGGGTCTGATCTTTGGAGCATGGCTTTAAGGGTTGTTCAAGATTGCTCAACAACCTTGATCTTAAACTCTGTGGCTTTGATCTCTCTCGTGAACCGGCGTTTAACCTGGGAACCAGGCGTTGCTGGTACGAAAATCACTGTGTCATAATCACCCTTTCTAAACCAGTTTTCACGCGTCTCTTCTTCCTCTCTCCCGCCCGTTCTAACGCCCTCCACTCCCTTGGCCTGAACAACGGTTTTTCACCATTCGCATCCAGTTCCACTCATCGGTTGTAGGCACCCAACGCTGATCGTACTACTTCTTCTCGAAACTTCCGGTCGTAACCAGAGTATTGAAGACGTAACATCATGTGGTTGACGTGAGCAACAACGACCTCCCAGGGTAACTCTCTGCTACAGTTGAGAAGAATCCTCAACACTTCCTACGTAAGTATTGTTCTCTTGCAACTCCACGGTAAGGCCGATCTTGCATTTATCACAGATCTGGAGGCAACATCTTTGTAGTAGAACTCGTGTAGCACGACCTGTATATCACCGTCTTGCCCATCATCACCTACACGCCTTCTCATCTCTATCCAGACTTTTAAACCGAGTATGGGCAGTTTTCAATCCACGTGTCGTGACGGGTAGTCGACCTCTAACCTTATAGAAGGGTGTCTGCTATTTCCAATCGACTGAAACAACAGCATGCATCATTTATCTGACTTGAGGTTTTGCTCTATTTGTGCAAAGTTCTCATCTTGGGTAAAACTTTCTCCTCAAATCTGATACCAGCCGCCGAAGCGTTCATAACCACATTTATGTCATCCACGTACCTTTTGTACACCCGTAACCCCACACGATTTTCTTCCAGCTTCTTTACCATTTGTCTGTCCCATCAGACCATAAACAACTGGGCCAAGACCCCAGTAAGCTCAAGCCCTATCGGACCTCCCTCTGTCTGCAACTTGGTCCGATTGGTGGTGGTTCTTCATGATAAACAATAGGACAACCTTCATCACCTCCGTGAACATCTTTCTGGTAGTAACCTCGTCCGGCTACTCAACCGGTGGTAGCCAAGGTTGAGATCTCTTGGTTCTGTTCTCATCTACAGCGCAACCTGCTGATGGTGGGAGGTCGGGCTCTGTTAGCCTTGCGTTGTGGGCAAAACCTCAGTAACCCCAGATCTCTCAACTCTGCCTCACATCTGTTCAACGAAAGATATAAGGGACCTTTAGCAGTCAGGACGACAACGCCAAGGAAGACTTCGATTAAAAAATTAATTTCTACTCTTAGTCAGAATTTCAAAAATGGCTGCATGAGCTTACTATCTCATAAGGCGCCACAGCTCAACTTCAGCAGGACGTATAGAAGTAGCGTTGAGTTCAAAATGGAAATTGAATTAATTTGCCGTCGCGGTTTCGGTTCGCAGACGACGCAAATTTTGGCGATTTCACGTTGTTGTTTTGCATGAGACGGCTAAGAAATGTACAAAGTTTCAAAACGCACGTGCTGAGCTATTGTTCTACCAATTAGATCTCTTGTTTTTCCACGTCCTCGTTGCCGTCGCCATCGTGGTTGCTTAAGGTCCCTATAATCCCAACTCCTCAACATTTAACCCGACCACTTCTACACCATTTGTGTGGAAGACTTCACAAACTTTCTCTACTGTAAAGGTAATGTCCAAACTTGGGTATAGCGCCTTCACATCAGCTGAGCCACCGACGATATCTTCCGTGATCTGGCTGGCATTTAACTCCTTGACATCAGCCAACATCTCTTCAGTATTCAAACAAACACTCTTCTCTTCTCTCCACACCTCCGACAAAATAAAACTCATCAAATGCTACAATTTCCCTTTGTAGGCTGACACTGCCTCGCATACTGGTCGAACCGGTGGACCAATAGAGGGGTCATCTGCGTTCTAGTGATCTTTCCTAAGGGCATACAAAGGGGGAAAGGTGCAGTCACTTACTTAAGTAGAATTTCACAACGAAGAAATAAATAGATTTAGCAATAAAAGGAAACTTGATGAAAGCAGCAAACTTGAGTCGTCTTTCCAGCGAACTCATTGAAACACTCAGAGAGCACACGGCATGAGAAACTAGCCCCGAACATTTTGATAACACCGCTCAAATATGATAGATCATTGATTGTAGAGGTGGGGGGAATCATTAGGATTTTCGGTTTTGTGGTTTTGGCCATTTTTTAGATGGTTTTTTCCGGTTTTTGTGCCAAAAAACTTCGGTTTTAGTTTTCATTGCGTTTTGTGGATTTGCCGTTCGCATTTGGTTTTACGATTTCGTTAAAAATACTAACGGGTTTTTGGATTTGGTATCAGGTTTATGGTTTTTCCTTTTTGGGTTCCAGTTTTTCTCCCATGCTCCACATGTCACTTCTACACGGTTTTGCATTCGGTTTTCGGTTTTGATCAAATTTTTTTTGGCGGTTTTATGCTTTTAAAATGATTTTTTTCTACGGTTTTGCGGTTTCTAATAGAACCCAATACTCCCCTCATGATGGAATCTAACAAATAAAGCAACTGGCCATTTGACAACCAACTAAGCGTTAAAGTTGTCAATAAATCATATACACATTCGACTTCCTTTTATTTCTGTGATTGGATTAGTTAAAAACTATGTGGTTCTACGAGTAAATAACTGTGGCTCCACATAAGCAGTCACTCGACTCATTAAATATCAGTAACAACTGCTACTTATGGTACGTTTTACATTTGTCAATTCTTATTTATTGTGTCTTGCACCCAGTACTTCAGATCCATCATGTCAGCATACACACCCTATCGACCTTCGCGCGCGCAGCCAATTCCCCAACTTACTGCGCCAACCAAATACCACTTGTTATTCTTAGAACAGACAAGCGGTCCGCCACTATCTCCTTGACATGCGTCAATCCCTCCTTTAGCGTACCCTGCACAGCGCATCCGCTGTGAAATAGTGTACCCCAAATCTTGATAGGCAGATTGGCAAGTGTCTCGTGAGATCAGCGGCACTTGAGCTTGCTGCAGTATCTGTTGAATCAAACGGCCATTACATACATAAGATGTTTTAACATGACGGCGATAAGGAATTAAGTGTTACAATTTGGGCCAAGCATATCCCGGCCTCCGTTGCATGGAGCAAATAGTAGTACTGCTACTCTCCCTGGATGGGATGGTTGTCAATTGTAGATTACCCCCCTCCCCACTGACCTCAGTGGTTCCTACTTATACTCCTGGAAGGAGAAGGGGGGTGGGGGTGGGAGGGAATCTTGTTCGAAGGAGGAGCTCATTAACTGGGCAGTAAACAAAACAATAAACAAAACCTCTTTTGAGGTTTTGTTTATTGAGTAAGATGTATGGGGTAAGATGGATGGGCTAAGATGGATGGGGTAAGCTCGTAGATAGCCAGGCCAATATGCGTGGAAGCATGGAAACTACGCGGTCTAAAAGTGGAATATTCATCATCTTCACCTAGTGAAAATAACATTCTCGGAAAAAATGCCCGATCTGTAGCATTTAGTGAGTTAGAATAAAATAATTAATAAAGAAATAGTGTACAAAGGGAATATCTTCATTGTAAAAAACTCAATGCTCCCTTGCATCGCTGAATATTTCTCTAAAAATGTTTAATAAGAATTTCTCTTTACATCCATTTACCTGTGGGATGTCCCCTCCTTCTGTTGTATGACCCCAGCGTGTGACGAAACATTTGGTCCCCACCCCAAAGTCAAACTTAGGCAGGCACACAGGCCGCACGCGCGTATTATAAGTGAGTGGAGACTGGAGCTTAATAAGAGCCAAGTCGTAGTCTTCGTTTTGATGCGGAGCGTAGCTTGGATGCTTGATGACTTTTTCGATTGGAATGTTTTGTTCATATCCTTCTTTTCCATTAAGGTCATGATCCCCTGTTGAGAAACCATGGAAAAGGTCAAGGAGTTTACGGGAAATCTTTGTGCTTCAAATCGACGTATGATACTCTGTAAGCTTGAAGAATTAGTGACTCTCGGTAAAGTTGGAATTTTTTCGTGAAATTTTCTTACGTCAACGCTTCGTTTTCTACCTTGCAATGTTTAGCGAAACGAGTGACCTTCGGTAAAGATGGAGATGGGTCGAAGATTTTTCGCGACACTGTCATAGCTCAAATGTACATTTCTTTTCGAACATGCTTGCTATGAAGCATGATTGTTAGCGACATGTTGGTTACAACTTTCTGTCAACACTTTTTATTAACTAGATCCGGTTAAAATCTTAAGGGTAAGAAGCCACTAAATAAAAAAACATGGTCAATCTTTTTAAGTTGGCAAGCCTTTTAAAAATCCTTCCGCGTAACAAGGAGTAATTATAACGGCAGAATTTAACGATATCATTAAGGGCTCTTGATAATGCATTGATTTCAAACACGCTTGCTGGATATGAGATGCCGTTCGAAACGCGAAAATGACTGTCTGCTTGTAACTCTCTGTCGGCCTTCGGACCTTTCAGTAACAGCCTGAACTGTAAGTCCCACAGAACAGGCCTAAACTGAATCGAATTTTGCAAATTACCTGCAACAATAGTATACTGGTTAGGATCATCGCCATACGCGAAACAGTGAGCCGCTGACACAACCCACTGAGGCGTCAAAATTGAGCCTCCGCACCAGTGGGGTTTCTCAGCATGTCCCTTGTAGTCCATTGTTATTTGCCACGGCCAAGCCCCTGGTCTAGCATTAGTGCCCCCGACTATTCTGTGTCCGAGGAACCTTGTGCCGCACTCTACATCTCCTGAGTGTAAAAAGGTGTGGGATTATCATTCAGTTATTCCTTGACAGAGAGGGAAAATTCGAAAAAGTGCGGCTATTGATCATGACTTAAAAAACGATGTTCCACTCGGCTGCACCAGTTTAGTCTCTGGGTTGATCTGAGTTCATCTGAGCATGCTTGATAAGTATGAGAAGATAAGATTGAAAAAATTTAAAGGTTTTGACAGGAAAAAGGAGTTAAAATGAATAAATGATTAAAAATAGATGAAGAAAAATACATAAATACATTTAAGTGAAAGAGCTGTTTCGTTATCGAATGAATCAATTTGTTTTGTGAGATTTGGACTTCAAGCAAACCACGAAAAAAAAAAAAACTAATGAAAGGAAAGTAACTTTATAGAACACGCTCCTTAAATCTTGTCTATCTTAAACCTGTTGTATTCAATATGTAACTGATCCTTTGCTATAAGAAATACGCGGCACCAGGTCTGCCTCACCTTGGTCAATTGGTTGTTCAGTACGGGGAAGAGTTGTTGGTGGCGGGGCGGGTGTTGGAACTGAAAGAAAGCGATTTTGATAACAAAAAAAATTATCTGCAATCTCTAAACAAGACTTTCAGCCGTATGGAATGATAAGTTAAAGGAAGTGAAGGGAAACGTTTCTTTTTCCTATTAAGAATAGAAAAAAAGAACGAAGAAAAGGTACAAGGAATCGAACTCGCGTGAGTTAAGGAATGGCTCAAAAACGAGATCGTGACCCCCAGCGAGGCCTCATAGTTAAGTATTTGTAATTGCTAACTTAATTAATAAAGAGCTCCTAAGTTTCAGCGTCGTACGTTTAAACAATCATGGCATTGCTTTTCGCAGGTATACTAATTCAAGGAATGTTTCGATATGAAGAAAGTTTCCCGACGTAAACAGATTATTTGTCGTTACTTAGTATATTGGAGGATTTTCATCTCGAAAAATTTTGTAGGGATCTTCACCAGACAGAGGTACGTAACAAA